CGATCATGCCCTTCCGGTGAACCAAGGAGGGTATGGACATAGCGGATGGAAGGTGTGCCTGTGCTCTACAGGACACCGTTGGGGTGGAGAGTTGCCGAGGGGTGTAACGTGTGAGTGACATAGTGCAGAGTTAACAGACTTTTTTCGATACCCCAAACTAACACACTCTGTTCTACACGTATAAAGCACCAGCAACTCTCTAGCCCGACACAAGTTAACAGCCATGGCTATTGCGAACACACACATCCACTGCACGGGTCTCTACATGGCCGGTGAGTCTAACTGCAGCGGCATGGAGCTAACGGCATCGGATCATTGTCGGTGGATAGAATAGGCTCGATAAAGTCTGAAATAACACGAGAGTTTTCCGGGTTACCTCCCGCTGACGTGCAGACCTGGTGGTACCTCCTTAATGAAGGGGTTTGTAAGGGGCTAGTTGATCCAAAATTCGGCAGCACCACACTCTCCAAGAAACAGTAGCAAGACATTTTTTGATGATCTTTATCCGGTGGCTTTTGGTCAGGTTGGTAAAGCTATTGGTAAAGCATACCCCTAAAGATGGCTACACAGCTTCACCTTGCCATGACAAATAAGACCTCAACAGCTTTGAAAAAGCTATGGAACGAAAATGAGATGGGGCGATCTACACCTGGTAATCGATTTTACCACACCAGAAACAATGAAAGGGGAACCATTGATTGTTGTCATTACAGAATATGGGGTATCAGCCATGCGCCCCCACAACATTTTGCACCACTGAAGAGACAGATGCTTTCTTGACAAAAGACAGAAAGTGGGCTGAAGTCCTTCCACTCCACGTTCCTTTTCTCTTGGTCCACTCTCATCCCATTAAGGATCACCATGCTGGTTGATTGCTCCGGTTGTTGCATCTTCGTGGATGTCTTGCATGGCTGATCAGTGGTGGTGGCTGTGGTTTGGGAGAGATAGATAATGTAAGTGGATAAGAGATACTGCTGCCAGAGAATAATGGCAGCCCGTTGAATTTTGCCTTCTACAACACAAAGCACGAAGAACTCATTTCGTTGCCTCGGCTCGATGGGTAGACGACTGTGGTTGTAGAGGTGCCATTGTCTGAGTGTGGAGCAAAAAGGGCACAGCTCTCACGTTTTGATGGTTGAATTTATGGCTGGAACTGAAGAGGAGGACACTTTGTTTCGTGCGACGGAGAGTCAGTCAGGTTGACTGTTTACTCTCTTTTAACCCGTTAGACAAGGACCAGTTGACCAGCAACAAATTCAATTCTCCCTCTTCTGGTACAAGAAATAGCCATAGGAATTGCCTCAGAATGTGGAAAAATCATGTTGCTGCTGTGGATATGGCTTTTATGCATTCATTCCCACAAACTATTCCACATACTAGTACTGTACATACCGGTAGGCGGGTTGACAACACACATGGACGCTGATGATCGATCCAGCCCTCTTTCTTTTTCATTAGTTCCACACTAGTACCTTTACTCTATCGCGATGATGCTATCTCCTCTTCTTGACAGCCGCTACTCCTCTTGAAAACATCTCCGCCATTACAGGCTCCTTTTGCTTGACTTGGCTTGAAGCAGTGGCAGTGAGCTTCTTCCGTTCAACGGGTCCATTCGATGACTTCGCGTCGGAGCAATCGACCATGACGCCTCTTTCACGAGCGAATGGAGCGAAGCAACAACAAATGCCTCCACAATGGCACTGACTGGAAACAACCGGTGGTTCGATGTCATGCATCTCAGAATGAACCGAGTGCCTCCGCGAATGCCACATCACCACCAAGGAAAGAGAATGAATCAACACAGCGTTGCTTCCTGGATAGTTTTGTTGGGAGGGAATGCATGCTAGTGGAAGCAGTTCTTCTTGTGGATAAATGAGTTGTAGTTTTGTTTTTTGTGGTGTAAGCAGACAGCTGGATTGTGCTCTTCCAACGTGCCATAGTTTTCCACATACACCAAAGTCTCTTTTCCAACCACTGTATTGCACAGTTTGGACCATTCATGTTCTGTCCTGTTTGGCATCGACGCTATCCATACCAACCTCGCCACAGCTCAGTTCACTTGTGCTTTCTTGTGGGGGAAAGTCCAACTGTAGTGTTGCTTCTTGAATGACATTGTTCTTGGAAGGGAATGCATGACTGTTGTCATGAATGAGTGGAAGCAGTGCTTCTTGTGGATGAATCGCTGGCATGGCCTTTACTATGACAATGCTGGGTGGGAAATCAAATGAATATTCAGTTCCTTCAGACTGTCACTCGAGCCGGTTGTGCCCTGCTCTGATTTATTTTTGATGCTGCTGTGAACAAACCAGTCCTGACGCACTTGTCCACATACAGCACCGTCTCCCACTTGGTACACCGTCTCCCACTTGGTACACCGTCTCCCACTTGGTACTATTCCCAGCCCTTTTGTCATGATCACGGAACATGACGGGCGGTACTTCGTTCCTTGGTGCTTTTTCATGCTGAGAAGTTTAATGGCAGCGATGCTTTGGGAGCTGGTGTTGATGCTTCTGGCTGGCCTTGACTCTATTATTACAGCTACTAGTACTGTATTACATGTACCCGACTCGTCACTCGACTCTCTCACCTCCATGGGCAGCACTGGCGCAGATTTGACTCGACTCGACTCGACTCGTCTCCACTTTGTGGCGGGAATTTCAAAAAATGAAGAAGGAAGGTCATGTGTAAAGCTGGTTGCTGCGACCAGTGACTGGACCAGTCCTGTGAAAAGATCTCCATGGAGCCTCACGCCATTTCCCACCATTATTCTTCGGACAACATCTCCCTACTAAACGACAATTGTTCAATTGTTTCCGTGTGCTGTCGATGCTGCATCATTTCCCGTCTTCATCTAGACTACCTGATAGCTACTGGTGGCAGATAGTGAAGTGCCTGCCTTGGTGTTGGTTTACCAGACAGATTGATTAGTTCTGGGTGCCACAGAAAACACTGCAAAAAACCGTAATCGTGGCAAAGTCATTGAAGATGGTCAAGTTGGGTCTCTTAGTGACCTTGCTCTTCTTGTCCTTTAGCGTGGCGCAGGAGTGCGATTCCAATGGGAATTGCGATACTCATGAGAGATGCAGTGTCTGGGTTGGTAAGTCTGAATGGTGATTGTCATGTTGGTATTTGGTTTTCAGCTAAGCGGTCTGTGTTGTTGTTTAATGCATCACAGATGAAGGCGAATGTATCAGGTGAGTTTGTTTAGGTTTGCTACATTGTTTCTATCTGCTTGAGCAGCAATGGAAAGATATTGCGGCAAGGTGCCATTTTGCCCTCATGACCATCACAACAATTTTCTACACTCTTGCTTCTTGCTCAGAAATCAAGATTACATGAAGAAATATTGCCCTGTTGCTTGCAAGAATGGTTCCAGCAAAACTGCCAATTCCACCAGTGATTGCAAGGATTTGCATCCGCGATGTCGCATCTGGAGAGAATTGGGAGAGTGTTTGGAAAACCCAAGCGATATGAATCGATACTGCAAAAAGAGCTGCGATACGTGTAAGGAAATTTCCGATGTGGATGAATCTTCCCTCTGTCTTGATAAGAATGAAACATGTGCCTTTTGGGCATCCAAAGGGGAGTGCATTGCAAACCCAGGCTTCATGGAGATGAATTGTGCCAAAAGCTGCAACACCTGTGAGAAAGTTTATGGTATAAAGCCAAGGAAATTGGCAGGCAAAAAAGAGCAGCTGTTGGACTGGAGTGAAGAGGTGGGGGTACGACAAAGTGCTGTTGGCACAGAAACAGAAAGCACATTGGCCAGGGTTCTAGCTTCCAAAAAGTATTGGGAAGGAGAGGCTGCTGAAGCCTTGCCGTCAGATCTCATTGCAAAATGTCGCAATCTTCATGGGCTGTGTTCCTTCTGGGCTTATTTGGGTAGGTTTATTCTTTTTGATGTTGAAGGTTTCCATCTGTGCAGTGGTTCCATGCAAAGATCGATTGTTTGTTGGGTATTGTGACGGGGCTTTGCTTGCTCAACTGTGCCTCTATTGTGATGTTCGCTGGGATCTATCTGGTACAGGTGAATGCGACAAGAATCCGGCCTACATGGCGACGAATTGTGGACCGGCTTGCCACACTTGCCATCTCATTGATATCAAAACCCGCTGTCCACGCCTTGAAGATGCGAGGCCCGGACTGCAACCTGGGTCACTCAACAAAATGTTTGAGCGAATTGTAAGAACAGCTCCTGGAAACAACACAGAGAACTCCTGGACCAACGACATCAAAAGAAGCATGGAAGAGCTCGGGACACCGCCTTACACTGTCACAGTACACTCACGTCCCAGTGAAGAACCGGCTACCCAAGTTGACCCTGACTTGGACAAATCACTGCCACCTTGGGTGATCACATTCGACAATTTTATGACTGAAGAGGAATGTGATGCCATGATTCAACTCGGCTACAAATACAAATACAAAGTTTCTGAGGATGTGGGAGCGGAAAAGGCTGATGGGACATTTGGATCCATACAAAGCAAGCGGGGTACTTCTGAAAAGGCATGGTGCTCCAGCCGTGGTGGTTGTCGCGAGGAAGAAATCCCTAGTCGCATCCATGAGCGAATTGCCCGAGTGCTCGATATTCCAGCACAGAATAGGTTCGTCACTCTGGATGGTTTGCTTTGATTGTTACACTTGTTCTGCCCACACCGTGTCTTCCTTCTGATTTGAACCCTTTCGTTCTTGGAGCAGTGAGGACTTTCAAATCTTGAGATACGAGAAGAATCTGTCCTATCGGTAAGAGCCAACCTCACATCGCGCAACAAAGCCATTGGCATAGCCATGAGTTCGTGCCCATTCTCAAGTTTGCTGTGCTTGTCCCTCAGAACACTCCACGACTACATCCCGCACCAAAAGGACAGACAGGTGAGTGAGAAATGTGGTGACAGTGGCGATTGCGAATTATTTCCTTTTCACTAATGCCTTCAATCGCTTAAAAAGTGTGGACCACGGATTCTTACTTTCTTTATGGTACGATAAGAGTTGCATGAGCCAGTTCCACGACAAAGAAATGCAATGTTTGACAACTCACAAACCATAACACCTTGTACTGGTAGTATTTGAGCGACGTTGAAAAGGGTGGAGGTACAAACTTTCCCCAATTGGATATTATAGTTGAGCCGAAGAAAGGCAGGGCATTGCTATGGCCCAGTGTCTATGATTCAGATCCCTTCAGGTCGGATTCGAGGTTTTACCACCAGGCACAAGCTGTGGAGGAAGGCGCCAATTATGCCGTCTATGGTTGGATTCACATGTATGACTATGTCACTCCGCAGGCCAAAGGTTGCAACTAGTGTAAATCAACCAATGCGAATGTCAACCATATCACCTTGGAATAGTTCCAGTCTCTCGATAGGTCGTGCCTCACGTGAGCAACTATTCCGTGAGTAGCAATAACGAAAGTTTTTATTAGAAAAGTGTGGATTTCTGCTAGTCCGCTGCTGATGGTGCTTGCTTCGATCAAGCAACTCAGTTCTCATTGACTAATTTCTCCTAGCGACAACGGAATCCAACTCCTGGGGCCGCCGCTTTCAAAGCGTGCCAAGTCCATACAACTTGTGCGAGTTTTGGCAAATAGCCAGTTGCACACAGAACCCCCAAGGGCCTATACGAGGCACATTCGTTTTCATCCGACAAAAGCCACAGCTGCATTTTCAGCTTGCGCGTTGATGGCAAAGAGACCCTACCCGAGCTGGAGTAGTGGATTGTAGACAGCGTGCGCGATACAACTCTCCGTCAAGGACACAGCAAAACGAACCACTTGCGGTATCCTACCTTGCAACAAAGAGTAGTGAAGAGTGTCAGAAGGAGCAAACAGCAAGACGAAATTATGGACAAACCATCCAGAGCTTCGTTCAGAACAAAATTAACAGGAAACAACAAGCTTTCTACATCGTCCAATGCCATTTTGACAAATTCCTCGTAGTGAGCTGGGTGCGTTGTCATCATTTCGAAGAATCTGGGAAAACTAGGGCCAAGAGATGCAACGAGTAGACTCACCAAATGAATCATGTCAGCCTTGTAACGGATTGTTTGGGTTTCTGCCAAAAGAGAGCTGTAAAAAGCACCGAAATCAAAAAGTGAGAGTAGAAAAAGGAACCATTGAACCATGCCACAACTCAGCTCCAAGATGTCATCTTCGATCAATTAAGAATAATTTACTTGAACTTTCTCTTTCACAAACAGTCAGCCTGGGGCGGCATCCAAGTTGGTCTATCACTTCGAAGTACATACATCCAGAAACAATGGAATGATTTGAGCAGTTGACACGTACATTTTCTCTTGATGTGACCCTACCGGTAGCTAGTCCATCCTAACAAAGATGGCAGAAGAGACAAGCAGCGTTGGTTGAGACAAGAGTTTTGGCTAAGAGGGCCAAAACAACCAACAAACAAGCGAATGAGTCAATGTAACTATGACAAATAGCAGTCAGCGCAACCGCGCATAACACAGCTGCTCCTGGGAAAGCTAAAAAGCAGTCTTTTCCTCCTCATTCATTTATTCAAACCAACCAACCACAAACAGTCCAACGAACGAGGATATGATGATTCGATTCGATCCGATAATATATTATGGAGATCAGATTCATCAATTGAAGCGGACAATGCCTCATCAAGAAGGGGAATCCGAAGAAGTCTCATGCATCGTCCTTTCGAATCGAAGCTCTCTCTTCGCCGCTGTTCGGAGGGCAGAATCGACACGACCAGAACTCACTTTCAAATCACTGCCATGATGCCTTCCAAGATCATTGTGTCATCCTGTTATCATCTCAAGAAGATGCAAGCCACCGAGTGGAAGATTTCCATTGTGAGCCTTTCTGTCTCCGGTGGCTACTAGCTAGCTCTTGGTGGCGGCAGAAATAAATGAAGGGTGCGGAAGACACATTTTTGGTGCTGCGCGCATTGCGCGTTCGCGATTATTTGACATTCGTGAATAGAACAGTCTGCTGAGACGTGCTTTCGAGGCTCTTGGGTTTGTTTATGCTTGTTGACGCCGCAGTAGCTAAGTCAATGATCACGAGACAGCCGCAAACCAGCTCCCAGGCCTTCAGACACAGCAAAACAATACCGGTACACAAGTGCCGAGGGGTTGGTTCACCCCAATGTTGAATGAGAAAATGGTTGACGCCCTTGGCGATTTCGATCAGGGAGATATTTGGATCAGCAAGATCTTTCCCTTCCTGGGGATGGGACATTACGCAATGGTGGCCGGGGTCTGCAAAGAACTGAAAGAATGGTACAAGGCGTATTGCGCCTCCGTGGAGTGTCCTCCCAGAGTGTGGAATTTCAGAAAGTACGTCAGAGTTAGTATCCTGGCAACAACCACAAGTACATTTTATGGTTCCGTCTTTGCAACTGTAGCTTGTGCCGAATACTGGTACACCCGGACCCATGGCACACTCACGAGAAAACTCCGGGCTGCCGTGTGCTCTAAAGCTGCGAGAGCTGGGAGTATCGATGTTATGCGATGGGCGCTCCAAATGGGGTTCACATGGGATGAAAACACATGTGCTACTGCTGCTGGCTGTGGATACCTAGAAATGGTTAGGTGGCTGCACCACAATGGTTGTCCATGGGATGCATCCACTTGTACCGAAGCTGCTGCAGGTGGCCATTTGGAGGTTATAAAGTATGCTCATGATAACGGTTGTCCCTGGAATTCAATGACCTACTCCAATGCTGCAGAAAACTGCAATTTTGAAGTGATCAGATATGCCCACGAGAATGGTTGTCCTCGGGATGCAGAAACCTGCAATAAGGCTGCATCTGCGGGTAATCTCAAACTGGTGAAATGGCTTAATGAAAATGGTTTTCCATGTGATGGAGAGACGTGCGGTCGATTGGCAGCCAGAGGTGGTCATCTTGATGTGCTCAAATGGCTTCATGAAACAGGTTTTCAATGGTATCGGTTCACTTGCACTGCTGCTGCAAAATTTGGCCACCTGGACTGTCTCGAATTTGCCCATGAAAATGGTTGTTCATGGAATAGAAACACGTGCTCCCAAGCTGCAGGAAGAGGCCACTTGGACTGCCTTAAGTTTGCCCATGAAAATGGTTGTCCATGGAATGAAACGACCTGCTTTCTTGCTGCTAAAAGGGGTCATCTTGAATGCCTGAAGTATGCACATGAAAATAGCTGTCCGTGGGATGAATCAGTGTGCCTTGTGGCTGCTAAAAAGGGTCACATTGAGTGCCTGAAGTATGCCCACAAAAATGGTTGCCCTTGGGATCAATCAATCAGCCATTCAGCAGCAAGAAATGGCCATTTAGACTGCCTCAAATTTGCCCATGAAAACGGATGTCCGTGGGATGACAATGCTTGCACTGTTGCAACAGAAAACGGCCACTTTGAGTGCCTGAAATTTGCACACGAACATGGTTGTCCATGGGATGAAACAACTTGCTCTGCTGCTGCTGCTGCCGGAGACGTTTCAACATTGCGATGGCTCCATGAAAACGCCTGTCCATGGGATGAACGGACTTGCAATGCTGCAGCTGCAGGTGGTGATTTGTCAACATTGCAATGGCTCCATAAAAATGGCTGTCCCTGCGATGAAGGAACCTGCAAAGCAGCTGCAAAACAAAGGGGAATTCAAAACGCTCAAGTGGCTACATGAGCAGAGTTGTGCTTGGGACAAGTTCACCTGCTTAGAAGCTGCAAAGTTTGGTGATTTGGAAATTGTGATGGGGATCAATGATAATGGCTGTCCTTTGGATGAAGAAACTCGCAGCATGGTTGCTGCGCTGGGGTTGGTTGTATTAGATCGAATCGAATCCAGGAAGCGATAAGACTGACTAGTACCGGTAGGAGCAACTGAAGTGTGTCGAATAGTACGAGACTGTTTCCGCAAATCATGGAGGGAGTGCCTTTTGCGTCTAGTACATGTACTGTAAGCCAAGAGAACGACACTCATGCATAAGATGAGCGATTAGTACTGTTACTTGTTTACTTTCTGCCCCCTCTTGTTTTTGGAATCATCTCCACGGTTGCGGTAGGCCCAATGTTCAGCTGAGCCAAAGTTGTACTGTCCTTCAAGAAACCCGTGGAAGTCTTCAATTGAATCTTGTTGGCGGGCATGCCATTCAAATGCGCCCGTGAGAGCTCTTGTTTTACAACCTTCACCTTGGACATGACATCCACCGAAAGCGACACGATCTGGCCGTAAAAATTCCACGCCATTTGGGACCGGTCATTGGGAATCCGAACTTGCAGCGTTACTTCCGGTTTGTTGAGAGTCTTTACGAATTCGTCCGCAGGCAAAAGTTCACCATTCTTGGGGGTGTCTGGCAGCGGAGCCATTGGATCAGCAGCAGGATGCTCCGGTGGTGCTTGTAGTGGTGGTGGCGGTGGAACCCCGGAAGGAGGAGGAGGGAGTGGTGCCTGCATGGGTAACCCTCCAGGAACTGCCGCGGCAGGATCTACCGCACCATCCAATCGTTGTCGCTTTGCGTCTGGTTCCATTGGTTGTTCCAACGGGTGTTTCGGCGGCGGTGGAGGAGGTGGTGGTGGCATGGGAGCAGCGTTCATTGTTGGTTGTACAGGTTGAGGCAGAGATGGTCCTACGCCACGCTGCGACTGTTCTCGAATGATTCGGTTGGCTTCGTCCAGCCTCTTCTTGGCATCCGTCTCGCCGCTCAAAATGTCGTGTTCCTGGGACAGAAGAATGAAGAGCAGGGAAAGCAAAGAAAAGTCGCGTGAGTCCAACAATACACAGAAAACACATACATAAATGCTGCTGCAATCCAGTGCAACCAGCCTATAATAACGTACCGATTTGCCATACGCGTCTCTGGTGAAGCGTGAAATGTTACTCGCAATGACATCTCCACTGACCAGATTGCTGTCCTTTTGTTTCTCCTGGAACTTTTTGCGTTCTTCGGCCCACTTGGGATCGAGCAACTGAATGCGCATATGCTCCGGCATGTCCTTTACGGGGATACTCTTTCCAGTAATCGGATCAATAACCTCCTGCATGGGGTTGGATGCCTGTGCCGAGACGACTTTGGGCGTGTACGTGGGAACAACTCGAATGGTTTCTCCGCCGTCTTCGTCATCGGATTCATCCATGGTATCCTCCTTTGCAGCAGGCCCAGCGGGTGTCGCCACAGTGGTGGTAACCTTGGGTGGAGGCGGCGGTGGAAGCATCGCCATGTGAACCTGTTCATCTGCGGGAAAGTCGATAGTCTCTACCACAACAAAATCATGCCAGTCAATCAGCGCCGAATCGGACGGCATTTCTCCATCTTCGGCTTGTTGTTTTCTGGTTTGTTCTTCCAAGTCGTGTTCGTAGGCAACCCGATAGGCAGCCGCTTCCAGACATTTGTCAACGTTTCCAGCCTTTTCGTGAATGACGCCACTGTCTTGATTCGAAGCGCTCCAGGTATCAAAGATGCGACGGTAGGCATCGACTAGAGCACTGAAATAAGCAAAGTGTCCATGTCGTGGTTGACAAAATCCAAAGGCTGGATTGGCCCATTCGCGATGTGATAATGCCATAAAGAATGGACCTCCCTTGCCATCCATGGCCGTGAACTGAGCTACCAATTGAATGATTTCCACTTGAGCCAGCGTCAACGAAGCCGGAGCCACAATATTGACTAATTCTAGCGCTGGTGGTGCCGCCGCAATGAATTGTTGTTTTCTCGGTGGTGGTGGCGGGGGTGGCACACCTTCTTCCTGTTGTTCTGGCGGTGGTTGCTCTGCAGCTTCTTTGCCGTTATCCTTTTCAAAACCAGCTCGAGCTTGAGCGATCCTTCCTCGTTGGGTCAGCAACGCCTTTGCTACTGGATCGATGGCCGCGCTGGATTTTCCACTCTTTTCTCCTTTCTTTTTTTCTTCCTTTTCGGCTTCCTTTGCTGATTGCTTTTTCTTGTCTGATTCCTTCTTGACAGAAGCTCCATCCGTCTTTTCCTTGGACGCGTCAGGCTCTTCTTCTTTCTTATCTTCGCCTCCACTTTCATAAAATCGAATACGGTCTTCGTAATACGCATGAAAGGGAGACGTGGGCTGCAAGAAAGCAAACTTGGGTGTTTTGCCCTTACCCGATCCTAGAATCCTCGCTTCAAAGGCTCGACCATTCTTCGCCACATACGACGCCGTCTTGTCCGCCACAGCACGGATCTCTGGCGGTGGCCGAATCACTCCTTCAATACCCATGGTTCCACAGCAATAAAAGGACAATCTCCTATCCTCTTATTAAAAAATGTCCAATCGCTACAAGCTATCGTTTAGTCTTGGCTTTTTGCATCCACTCCACAGTAGCGTCTAGTCGTCGTTTCACTGGTGATGCTACATAGATTTGAGTACTGGTAGCCTACGCAGAACCGAATGGTGGTTGACACTATTACGCAGTGGCACTACCCAGCAGCAGAGTTCGCATCTCCATGACCACTACCAAGGAGTGATTGTATCAACTTAGCCGTTGTTTTCGTTGGTATTGTCGCCATTACCACTGTTGGCTTGGTGGCCACTATTGTTGTTGCCGCTGCTGCCGTTGCCGCCAATCTCTTCAAAGAGCCTCCGAATTTGGTTTTCATTATCTTCGAATTCACTTGCAGAGGGATATCGCCAGTCTTTGAGTCGCTTACCAGTCACTCTCCAATCGTCTCTAGCCAAGCCCATGCTAGCAGTGTTGTGGTAGTGGAGAAAGCATGAGAGCTGGCCATTGCCGACATCTTTTTGGGGATGTTTGTGCATTGCTTTCGCACACAATTCACAGTATTGATAGGAGGGCTTGCCGCAGAAGACACAGTTGAGTTTTTTCTTATTCGCCATGGTGTTACAGCTCTGAAAATGGTTGAGTAGAGGAGTGACAAATCCACAAAGACGATCGGAATGGATGTTGTTGGAGAGTGCTTCCATAGTGATGCCGGAAGCAGTAGACAGATTGTCGTCATGGTGCACCTGTCCACGTGGTGGAGTCCTTGATCGTGGTCTTTTGGCTTTACTGATGGATGTTGCATCGCGCATCAGCTCATCGCCAAGGTAGTGGCATTTTCTTGGCGCATATTGAAGCATCTGCCGTGCAAGCTTTTCGCGAAAGAGATAGAACGACACATGCTTGTTAATTCCACAATCAGCTAAGCCATCGAGTTTTCCTTCACAGGTCTCCAGATAGATGTCATATGCAACAACAACAGCCATGGCTTTGGCGTGTACCATTGGAGAATGCCAGTACTTCCACGAACTGTTGAAGCGAAATGATGTTAGAGAGGAATAATGAATAACAACAAATTTTCGAAAAACATACCGGTATCCCATGTTGCAGTTCTGAATGAGATGGTCTAGCTTGTCGACTCCTCCATACGTCTTCAAGTAGAGCTGTCTTGACTCGTTCATCTCAATGAACCATCGATATTTGTGTCTTCCGCGGCCTCTTTCCTTCTGAGATACATAGAGATCGAGTGAGTTAATGGCATTGACAGATGCCAGATTACAGGAACTCGTTGACTGGAAAGACGTCAGTTGCAAAAGGGAGTCACCATGGGGCTTAGCAGCGAAGATCGGCTTCTCATATCTTGCGGCCCGCGGTCTTGGGCTTCCATCCGTCTTCTCCTTGCACCAAAATTTGCTGTCTACTCCTTTGGGTAGGCGATCTCTTCTGCAAGTCATTGTCAAGCCAAAGCCTTCTTCTGCAGCGTACTGCATTATGGAGTCACCTGAAAAGTAATTGTCCCAAGTGAAGTGTGGCTTGCTGGGGAAGAGAATGGGCTTCCGCTGTTCTTGGTCGTCCACGCTGTCATCATCATCGTCATCATCCGGTTGGATAAAAGGCTTGAGCTTTTCATAAATCATTCTGACCTCACTCGGTCCTTTCTGTGGGAAAGGGAATTCGTGTATCTTGTGACGATGGACATAAGCCCTTGGCCTGATACGATCAACATCGACAACAAGAACCGTCTGACCACCACGAGAGATCCCTGGCTTGCCCAACACTTGCCCAACAACACCAGTTCCAGATTCGCCATATCCTTGATGAGGCCAAGACGTCTCATCTCCACAAAGGTCAAGTCCTGCTTGCTTTGTTATTGCATTGACATTGTGGCAGATACACTTGTAGATCATGTCATACTTGTAACATGGATCATACGCTCGCTCAGTTCTCTTCGCTGCACGCAAATTATTGCAAAGCTTGTAAATGCGCTTGATCAACAACCACCGTGTCTTACCCATTGATTCATTGATGAGGGGGCAATATTGCGCATTGCCCTCTCTTCGGTCAAATCGCCGAAGGATTGCGCCATCGCTTCCACCAAGAACCCCATCTTGGACCACAGTTCCATCCCATCGAACAAACTCTGTTATTGACACTGGTCGGAAGGTGTGACAGTAGCCGGTTCCAAGTTCAAGTTCAGTAACTGCATACCCATTACTGAAGACAGAAACATCTTTGTAAAATGACATGCGTGGGTCATTATCATTCCGTGCTGTATCGCACAATGGTAGAATAAGCTGATAAAAGAACAATGCATCTGGAGTAGTGTCGTCTTCTCTCATTCTCTCCTTGCATAGGCCCAGCCTTGAAAGTGTCGCCCCATCTAGTTGCCCTTTCCGGCAATCAGGGAACATGTTTTCTCTTGTTGCACCAGACCGGTATCTTGGAATGTTCTCTGGCAGTTCCCATCCGTTGTAAAAGAATTCCCATCCCTCCTTCACTCGCTTGAACTGGTGGTTGGCAGGAACAGGCGTAGCACCAGTCGGCATTGCATGGTAGAGATATTTCTTCTTCCTTGAACTGCCCCTTCCAGTCACTTGATACTTGGGACGGAAAGTAAATTCACTCCAGGACCCAGGATTGTCCACGTTTTCAAAGTCAGGCTCCGCGTTGACTTGCTTGTCAGCTGCTTTCCAAGTTGAAGGAGCGCCAGGTGGCTTCCAGGTGGCTGGTGCGCCAGGGAGGGCGACGTCTCTCTTGCCAAGTGAATCCGTTGACATGGGTTGAATGCTGGAAGCAATGGCGGCAATCTCCTCTTCAACAAAATCAGGATGCCTTTGCTCAGCCTGACCTCCAAAGTCCACCAGCAATTCATTCGCAATCTCTCCTTCATCATCCGAATCTGTGTTTGGGGACTTCTCTCGGCAGTTGCCATCATACTGTGCTTCGATTTCTTCTGCGGAGAGCTTTTCAGGAGATTCCTCTGACTGGCCATCTTCAGGAGTTGATGGCATTGATGTTCTTGTTTGTGGTGTTCGCAGCTGCTGGTTTCTTGTACTTCTGTTGTTGTTGTTGCGGTTGCTGACATCTCGCAAGGGAGTTCTTTGTGCTGCGGTGGCCAATGCATGAAGTGATCCGCCGTTGCCTCCACGATTTTGGCCACTTCTTGTCGAGCTACTTAGATCGGATGCATGAGACCAAGGAGAGGGATTTCCACCCACAATGGCAGGCGGGTCGTTGCCTCTAGCGGTAGTACCAACAGACTCTTCATCGTCGCTGTCGGAAGATGACATTGTTGCCGTTTACTTTCGATTTTCGCTCCTCCGTCATTGTGGCATCTTCCGGAAAAGATCGAAAGATGAGTGGCGCGTAGGCTGAGTACCGGATCTTTACGCGCCCGGATCCACTGCGCGGCAGTCGATTACCTATTTAGACAGCAACAAGCCACACCTATCTTCATTAACAGATATCTGGCTATGCTGCTAGCTCCAGCAAGGCAACATGTCATGCTTTCGATCAGTAGAGGGTGGCGCGGAGCAGTTGCGGCTGTGTTAAGAGCTACAAAGCCTGCAAAGCTAGATCCACTCCGCAGCAGTGGATTCACGAGTCAGCCAAGACTAAACGATAGCTACCGGTAGCTGGGGTCGGATGTCGATTAGGTTTTGTGGTTTGCAGCGTCGGCCTCGTTTGCTCGTTTGAGCACCCAACAATAAGCCAGCATTTGGGCAGGAAGGTTCGGCCCGAGGCCAGACGCTGGATCTTTGCACGCACCGCTGGCTATCACGAGTGCTTTACTGGCCATCACAAGTGCTTTACTGGCAATGCTTCAGCTGGCTCGAGTTTCCCGCCCATAGAAGGCTGGTGTTGTCATTGTGGTTGTCATTGTCATTGGTGGTAGACAAGCTGGAGCATAAAATAGAACCGAATCAGTTCACAATACCAGCCAGCTATTCCAATACCATTCCCAGTGAATTTATTACGAGCCGAGACCAGCAATAATGGCATCCAAGAAGAACAAGAAGGTCCGCCCGAAGCATCAACACCAACACCAACACCAACACCAACACCATCTCCTAAAGCGTCGGCACCGTTAAAATTCCCAGCAGGAAAAAGCACCAAGGAATGAAGTACCGCCTGTCATGCTCCGTGATCATGACAACCAGGCTGGGAATCGTACCAATGTGTTTTGAACAAAGCAGTGTGAAAAGACGCTCCGAGCCTGTAGCTTTCGTCTCAGCCTGTAGCTGTTGTCCCAGCCTGAAGCTGTGGTCCCAGCGTGAAGCTGTGGTCCCAGCGTGAAGCTGTGGTCCCAGCTGAAGCTTGTCACAGCCTGGAGCTGTGGTCACAGCCTGGAGCTATGGTCACAGCAGCGCGAAGCGTTCGTCCCAGTCTGAAGATGTAGCTTTCGTCCCAGCCTGTAGCTATTGTCTCAGTCTGAAGGTGTAGTCCCAGCCTGAAGGTGTGGTCCCAGCCTGAAGCTGTGGTGGTTGTCCCAGCCTGTAGCTTTCGTCCCAGCCTGAAGATGTTGCCCCACATAGAGTGTTTCCGGCCTGAACCTGTGGTCCCAGCCTGAACCTGTTGTCCCAGCCTGGTCCGTGGTCCCAGCCTGGATCCGTTGTCCCAGCCTGGATCTGTTGTCCCAGCCTGATCCGTTGTCCCAGCCTGGAGCTGTGGTCCCAGCTTGAAGTTTTTGCTTGGTTGCAGCTTACAGCTTTTATCCCAGCGTCAAGTTTAATTTTTTTGCTTGGAGCTTGTGTCTGGAATTTCACAACTAGCTATCTATCGGTACTATGCTAAGCTAGCTAGTCGTCCTCAAGTCGGCTTCTCTGAATGCGTTAATAGACTTTGTGCTTTTAAAAGTGCTGAGCTAGCTAGTCCATACCAGGAGAGATCCGTACCTGTATCATGGTGGTCTACTAGTACTAGCTAGCTAGCTACTATTATACGTACGGTATGGCCAGCCAGTACCAGGAGCCACATTCTGGGTGATTTCACGGCAATAACAACACAAAATGTCTTGCAGAATACTCCTTACTGGGGTAGCTTTTTTAGAACCTGGTGTAAACTCACCTAGTGCAAAGCACATTAAGGCATGTATACTTCAAACCATACCCACCAGTGATGGTTTAAAGTAAGCAGCAGTACTCCTTTTTCTAAATCCTCACTATTTACTAGTGCATGCTTTAACCACCGAATGCACTTCAAGAAGGCCTTCTAATTGCAGAATCAGCTTTTGTACTCTTTGCTCCTATTCAAAAGAGCCAAAGTAAATTGCACGAGCCACCCCCAGACCCCCTTCTATGTTTAAATCGTGAGGTGACCTCACGAATAAGCTGTAAACGAGAGCGTCCAATGATTGATGCTCTTCGAAGCTCAAACTTGGATAGCGCAGGAAATGCATGGGAAGAGTTCTCTCATGAACAGTCTGTTCAAGCACTACCGGAACCATGTTATCTGGCTAGTTGCTCAGAAGTGCGAACCAGAAGGTGTTTGGGAGCTGTGCAAATCACTTGCAAACGAGGGGCCTTCACCGGCTGGCAAAGAGCTTGACTCCAACAAGCAATTCAATGATCACGGCCGAGCAATGGAAGCAGTTGGGGACCTCAAACAAGGATGAGTTGATGAGTTGACCAGAATCATTGAACCCACAGGAGTGAATTATATGTGGAGAGTTCATTGCCTCCAATCTGTGAAGTATTCTCTGGGAGCCGAACACGCCACCAGCTAGTAGAAGTCAGTGGCATTCTATTCAATTCAATTTCTACCATGCAGTAGCAGACAATGATCACAAAGACTTCGCAAAAATCGCAACTGCAGAAGCTGAAAATATCCCACCGTTTGCGTACACCAATGCTCGTCTGCAGTTCTCAATCTGCCTGCCATGTGCATTCCCTCGCAACTGATGAATCGCCTCAATGATGTGATACATAGCGGGTACCTGCACACAAGAGAATTCATGCCAAGGTCGATCAGTGTCACCAAACTAGCTAGATACAAGATTTGGAGTATCTTGCAAATCATACCACGTACCTCCCAAGGTGCGCCGTAACACAACAAACCACCATGCGTGTTCACAGGAAAGAAATCAGGATCTTCCAATAGCTGGTCTTCCTTACCATCACCCATCGCTTTCATCATTCTGGTATATTGGCTCTCAATGTAGTCACCGGCGGTCCCTTTGGAACACAACCCACTCGCCTCCAATGCTCGAACAAGGCAGATTGGAAAGCAGTCATAGAGGCCAAAAAAGTCGATATCATCGGCCGTCAAGTTGCCGGCTGCTTCGTAGGCATATACCATTGCTTCTTCACAAGAAAAGGGTGTCTCATTCATCACTTCTGGAGGAAACAGAGGACCTGAAGATTCTCCAGTTCCAATCACTGTTACCATGCCCTTCTCGTACAAACCTCGTCGTTTCAAATATCTGTTGCTGGATAGTATCAAGCAAGCAGCTCCATCCGCCCTTCTTGCACATTCCATTAGGGAAATGTTTGGCGTCACGCTAGGTGATTCTTTTACTTCCAGCAAAGATGAGTACGCTTTGCCCTTTTCCTTGTGATAAAATAAGCTGTCTTTGTGTTTTCCAGCATGAAATGATTGAAGGCACACCACCATCCGTAGTTGATCCCTAGTCAAGCCAAAGGTTTCCATCTGATACTTTGTCACACGATCATACCCATTCGGGATTGCAGGAGATGGCAACTTTCCATGTTTTAGAAAAATCTCATCAGCCTTGGCGAGGAAGGAAGTACTATCCATGCTCCCAACACAGTCAGCTGCTACAACTGCAACGCATTCTAACCCTTCATGTTGAATCATTCGTTGAGCTTCCAACACCGCCGACACGGGACCTGCACCCCCAGTGTCGATTGTCTTGCACCGAAGAGGTCGATCTTCTTCAATGCTGGTTGAAAACAGATCAAGTGAAGTTGCCTGATAGTGGGCTTCCATAAAGTGGTTTTCTTGCAGGGAAGGAACGGCAATCAATCCTTCAAGATCCCGGGTAGAAAGATTCGACTCCTCAAGAGCATCCGTGAGCACCTGGCGGATCATGTCCGTCGTACTTGAGGGTTTGGAGGTTCTGCCTCTTCTCACGAGACCTTTTGCTCCCACAATGACAGCTTGTCGAGGCAAGCCAGTCACGACCTTGCCTGCTAGAGTATGAAACACCATGGTCGAGAATAGTTTCTTACTTCTGCTCTGTTGTTGCCGAAGCCACGCTTCATGGTTCATCAAGCAAGTGAGTGAGGATCTTTGGATAGGTGATGATGAGAATCCACTACCTGTACCATACAAGGTTAAGGTGAGATTAGTTGGGCAAATCCGACCCCTTTCAACCTTGGCCTTTAGAAAACTCTGGTTGAGCCTCTGGCTCTGAAACTGTTGGTGTACATGTACGTCCTGTCATGAGCTCTCACAAATTCAACCCTTCGTCTCCAGCGTGGAGCAGATTGATCATTCATAGCCGTGTAGAAACTTCATCTCACTGCTTGGGACCATGGCGTCCACTTCGCAGCTCACGCAGAGCTACAGCTTGTCAAGCGATGGGTCGCAAACACACAAAAAAGCTCCTGCTGATGACAACCTGGCTTTTCTTTTCGCAAAAGAACTGAACCTAACTCCGCCCAGCAAGGCGAAGTTCATGCGAACGTCCTCTGTGATACAGAAGGCAAACACAGCCTTGAGCCCCATTCAGAGCAGTTGGGAAGCGCTGAATCAGACACAAAGGGAATGGTGGCCTTCCTTGTCCTCAAGGGCCATGTGGAGTTGCTGGAGCAAAAACACAGCAATTTTTCTGAACAAGAGCAAAAACTGATGGTCGCTCAAAGCATCGCAGCAGTCTTGCAGCCCAAGTCCATTGGATGGTTTCTTCTTTTGCCGTTTGTGGAGAAGGGGGGTGATACAACCACCAACGAACCAAAACAGTATCTCCATGACTTTCAGAGTGCACACCCTGGGTGGGAGAATTGGGACGACGCCCCCACTCTCTTCAAGCAGCCAGACTTGTTCAAACGAGTCGAGCTTTTTGTTGGCTTCCAATCACTCATGTCGAATGTTTGCTACATTGCAAGTGCAGCAAGTATGATCCTTTACTACATGCAATTGACAACAGTGACCAAAGGGGATGAAGCCATCCAGCGGTACGGTCTCAACATTGGACGCTTCATGCGAAATAACTTGACCGAGGAGCGGATTTTTGAAATGGTTTTCAAAGGGCAAGGAGGGTACCCAGGAGCGGACATTCTTGATCGCCTCCTTGTTCTTTGCCACACCGCACCAAATATGGGAAAGATCGACACTTTAACAATTACCGGTATGAAGGGTGCCCCTCCTGATTGGATTTTCTGGAGTGTCCATTGCAAACTTTCTAATCGCGGCGCTCTATTGGTGGATGACTTTCCGCTGTTTGATGAATACCTCGACGCGGCGAACACCGTATTCAGTGGAAACTGGAATGACAAGAAACAGTCAGACGACCTGAAAAACCGCTTTCGCGCTTTCTTAATAGTTGGGGTCAAACGAACAGATGACGGTGGGATGGGCGGCGTCAAGTTCTTTTTGCAAGATACATTTCCGGAACGCCCCTTCATCGAGGTGGGGTGGGATTTGCTGAAAAGTGCGGGGATCGATCGACTTCAAGCCATTGCCCCCCGAGTAACGTTTGAAGGAACATCGATGGACCACGCTCTCGACGAGGTCCCCTCCGCAACGTGGAGTGGAGGAATATCCCCTGGAAGTCGAACGACTTCCTTTGATTTGGTCCGCTCTGATCAGAGGACAGGACTGAACTCCCTGACTACTGGGGAATTGAAATTCCCGAAGGCGTAGACTTGGACCATTTGGTGGTCACTACGTAGAGGACCTAGCTATCCGGATTGCTAGCTACCAGAGGGAGGGGGTGAGATATTGCGGAAGGGTTGTTGGTGTTGGCTTGGAGTTGGCCCCAAGGAACCAGTACCACCGGTGTGTTTCTAACGGCACAACTGTCCAGCAAGGATCCCTCGAAATAAAAAAATAACTAAAGATTGTTTTGCATGTAAAAGCTTGCGAGCTGTTTGAGACTGGCTACACATAGGTCAGCCTCACGAGATTGTCCCGATGTTGACCTCGAAGAAAAGATAGATATTGGTGTTTGCCCGTAGCGTATGGGTAGAGTTGGTTCAAGGTTCAATTGGTTCAAGGGCAGGCCCATAGTTTGTCCAAAGGGACCAGGAGTTAGTCAGCTAGTAGATCCAGGTAGTACGCTCTCGAGTTGGTCCTGGAGCGGCTCTTCGTGTGTTCCAGATTTTGGGACCAGTTGGGTGGTGGATTGCCTGGAGATAGACCACATTATTGCAACTACCATCAGCCTTTAGAATTAATTACATGTAGAGAGCCATTCATAAGACAAACATCCTACTACAATACCTACTAGCAATGCATAGGGCTCCGGCAAAATCAAGCCGTGAAGATACTTACAGCTGGACCCCATCTTTGGAGTCGAGTCAAATATGGAAGAGAGTCAGCCAGGAGCAGTACGACTGTAGTGTAGCCTGTTTCACTAGCTTGGGTTTTGCTTCTGCGACTTGGTCTGGTGGTAAGACCAAGGATATGAAATCTTGGGAGACCTCGCATGGAGGATGATGGTAAGCAGCAATGCTTAGAACCAGTGATCAGGAAGACGCAACAGAGCAGCACGTTCCAAGTTCCGTGGTCGAGGAAGTCGGTGGTGGAGTTGGTGGTAGATACCAGTAGTGACGTTGGACTGACACCACGTACACAAGTGAACGTGTTCGAGAACATTCGAAAAAACAATTCCGCCACAATTTGAGGAAGCAAAGACACACAAATTCCTAACACGCCAACACGATAGTGGTTGACAGTTGACAGCCGACAGAACAAAGCCAAGGAAACACAGCATATTCGATTCATTTCTCTTCGATCCCATAATCGCCAAGCGTATTTATTTTTTGTGGGCTACTACGGTACCACTACCATGCTTTCAACAGTGCTAACCAAGGCCCCTCTCTGGGCAAGGCTCAAGTCAGTCCCATCCGAGCATCCGTTTGCTTTCGGGGTTGTTATTTCGGGTATCAAGACCTCATGTTCCGACTTGTTGGTTCAAAAAGTAATCGAGCGCAAGGAACAAGTGGACTGGAAA